AGATCGGCGACATAGACAGTACCCAATTGATCAACAACGACTCCTTCAGGATCATTCAATTGTGTGAGACTATTTCCTTGTCCTTGACCACCGGCGACGATAATACCTTGTTTTGCACGTTCTTCCCATTTCATTACACGATGATTTTCCCAATCAGACACATAAACTGAATGATCTCGATCGACAAATACGTATTGGGGATAAGAGAGTTGATCGAGACGATTTCCTTTTCCATTGCCACCTGCAACCACTGTTCCTTGAGTGTCACCAATTTTATATCGTCTCAATTCATGTTTTCCTACGTCAACGACATAGAGAGATCCATTGTCGTCCATTGTCAAACCCACGCAAGCGATATTCAAAATAATTGTTTTTCCATGAGTACCATTTCGACGAGGCCATCGAACTACTCTGTTATTCCCCCAATCGCTGATGATGAGACTATCACTCTCTTTGTCGATAATCACATCAAATGGGTTATTTAATTGATGTGCTTCATGTCCTTGTCCGTTTCCACCAGCAACCACTTTTCCATTCGTTGCACCAGATTTCCATTCCACAATACGGTGATTCCTACAATCAGCGACATAAATCGTTTGATCTTCGTCGACGTACAAACCAAATGGGGAATTAAGTTGATTGATTTTACTGCCTCGTCCATTTCCTCCAACAACAGTGATACCATTCTGTGCCCATTTTGCATTCGGATGAATATCAATGGAACTTGCATGTAGTGGTACTAAAATAAAACAAAAGTATGGAGTAGAAATAAACATCGATTTCATTAAAATGACTCATTCTCATTTGTTTTAAACAGTATTGAACTGTTCTCAATTAGAAAAGTTTTTTACTTATGAACTTGATTAGAATCTGATTTTCTCAATATTGAAAATAAATATTGTTGAATTTTTTCAAATATATTGTGTAAGAATCCTTAGTTTGACTAAAACTAACTAAAATTTAACTGCTAGCGTGAAAAATTGCGATGAACTCGGATTTTATTGTAAATGAAATTTTCTTTTCTATCGAATTTTTCCAACATATTTACTGATTTCGTTAGTTCGAGTTTGAAATATATTTAAAAATCATTTCATTTTTTTTGTTTGAATTTTACAATAAAATGAGTTATAATAGAATTTGAACGTAAGGAAAAACAATTTTGTTATCAGTTGCTAGGAAACTGTGTATGATTTATGTTCGTCACACATTTCTGAGTGAAATGAGACAAAATAAATTTGCCACTTTTATATGAATTCGTTAAAAACATCTTGCTAGATAATAACGATAGTTAATTATACTTAACTACCATGCATAAGACGTTTTTGACTGATTCATATAAAAAAATTACAAATTTTTTGTGTAAGTATTTTTCTTTCTTATTCCATTTACGAATGTGTGACAAATATAAATCATACACCATTCGAAAGTATTTTATGCCATGAATTTTGCATCATACTTATTATTGAGTAATTTATTCCTGAATCTCAAACAAACAAGTAGTTTGTAGAAAGGCTAATCGAAGTGTTAAATAAGATAGGTTTAGATAAAATAATACGTAAGTTCGAATTTTAGTAGATAAGAAGAACTCAAAAACAAATCTTTCCCAAGTTCAAGAATATTTGAAGAATCTGTCATGTTCATTATTCTACATTGTAGGACAAACAATAATCTATATAGGAATCAATCAAATCTTTTATTTTGAATTCATTTCTAATGTATTACAAATTTTCAACTTAACAGGGTGTGGAACACCTTTTTTTAAACAATAGTAATTTCGATCAACGATCGATTTCGAACTTTCTACAATTAAGTATTTTCACTTCTTTACAAGAAAATACGAATCTCCTATGAAAGTCTTGATCTAAAATGTTTGCAAGCTTATGTTTTGTAGGTTATTCAATAGGTGTAAATTTTTGAGGATTTTCACAAAAAAACAACGATCATAAAGATTTCATCATGATTTTAGCTATTCTCAATAGCAATAAGTGTGAAGATTTCTTCTTCAAATTTTTATTGTGTCGCATTCTGAACTGGTTAAATCCTAGAAGAAAGTTTCTTTTTGTTTGTCTAGAATTTTCGAAAGGTTGATATTGATATTGATATTGATTTGAGCTTTAAACTAGAAACAATACTTCTGTGATTATATCTTGAATGAACCGTTACGGAGCCGATGAAGTTCATAAAAAATGTCATGGAGTTTTATAAACTCCCTAAAAATAATTTAAATAATTTCATCCTTCTTAATTTATCTATGAAGAATCTAGCCATAATTGAAATCTTGATTAAATTTAATACTATTTAATCAATTTTTATTTTTTATTATGTGATGTCATGTATTTTTAATATGTTAATGTTTCAGTGCAATTGAAAGAAAGTACATTTTAGTATTATTTCTTTTCTTCCATCGACAAAAAACAAATACATGTAAAATGGTATGAGAAGTATAATTATGTGTCAAACAACTCGAAGATGAGAGTCAGAAACAAAACATTACTTTCTGATTTTTAAATCAAAGAGATTGTGAGACATAAAATTCGAGTAGATAATTTTATTTTCTACTTATAGATGATGACATAGACCTATATGAGATGCTTATTAATACTATAGATTTATTTCAATTAAATCAAACTTCTCAAATATCTCTTATACACATGAAAATAATCAGTTTGACCGGCTACCTTGCTTCGGTTTTTTTGCACATAAACTTCAGTCTTAATTATTTTAGAACAAGTACAGTCAACATTTGCTCTATATTTGATATTATATAAAATCCTATTCATTATTTTTCATTTTTCTATACTGTAGTATGGAAATTTCCATTTTTATTTCTTGTTTTTCTATTTTAGCAATATAGAGAATCCCATTTTTACCTCTCATTTTTCTATATTAATAATGTAGAAAGTTATATTTGTTAATTCTTATTTTCTATATTGATAATATAAATAATGATTAGTTTTAATTTTAATTTTTCTATGTTGGTAATATAGATAACAGTTGGTTTTAGTTCTTATTTTTCTAGATCAATAATATACGAATCTAAATTTTCATTTCTTGTTTTTCTAAATTGGTAGTTTAGAAAATCTTATTTATTGTTTTTCATTTTTTAGATTGATAATATAGAAAATCTCAATTTTAATTTTTGATTTTTCTGTAGCAATAATAGAGAAAATCTTAATTGTCATTTTTTATTCTTCTATATTAATAATATAGAAAAACCTATTTTTATTTCTCATCTTTTTATATTAATAATATAGAAAATCTTATTTTTAATTCTTATTTTTCTATATTGATAATAATAGAAAATAAAAAATACAATCTTCTATGTCAACAATATACAAAAAATAGAGAATAAAACAAACTGTTATCTTTATTACCAATGTAGAAAAATAAGATTCTCCATATCACGAATGCAAAAAAAAATAACAAACGAAAATCAGCATTTTCTATATTATTACTATAGACAAATAGGACAAAAATAACTGTTTCTATATCATCAATATAGAAAAATAAAAAATAAATAGAATTTACTATTTTGTCATCACAGAAAAATAAGAAATAGAAGTAACCGTTTTGTATACTATTAGTACAGAAAAAGAAGAAAAAAAATTAGGTACACTGCTTGATCCTGTTTTTTAAGTACTGTTCTTCATAGGAGAGCTGATGGAGTCAACTATTCTCAAACAAGTGAAAGAACAGAACACACCATACACAAACAGATAATAACAGGCAAGATCTACATTATGTACCGTGTATGTTTCTTTGTTTTAGATCTTGTATGATCTGTTAAAGTCTGACATGAAGCATTCAGTCTGTCCTTATAAGTGTTTTAATCTTTGAATCTTGTACGATTAACTAATGTTACTGAGAAACAGGACGAAACTATTCATTTTTTTTAAATCGAATTGATAAAATTTAACAAACAAACATTGTGGAACTTTGTAAACTATGTGAAAATAATAACAATTCAATCGAAATTTAACATAGTTGGAAGTTTGTAGTTTTATGTAAGAAGATGGTGAAATTGAACCTTATAAGCTGCTCAGCTTGTTAAATGAATATGTAAAGATTAATATTACAATAGATATGTTCATTTCTGTTCTGTTTTGTTTTTTATTGAGAATAGTCTGCAATTATCCTGATCTGAATTCTTATAAATAGAATAAGATCCCAAAAAAGAGCTCTAATGTAAAAGTACATATTGCAAATAAGAATTATCTTATTAATGAATAGAATTCTTTTCGATGTATGAGATGATTTTACAGTACTCTAGAAGCGATAGTTCTATTCATGAATCTCAAACGAAGATGACTTCT